TAACTCCTTCACAAAAGGCATAAATCTCCTGAGCCGACCAAGCATAGAAATGAATACAATATGGGAACCAGTAATAAGTGCCAGAGAAAAGCAATAACAACAAAAATTGCAATATGAGCTCTGGTAAAAACATGCAATGATAACAGCAAAAATTGCAATATGAGCACTGGTAAAAATGGTTGCTGAAGACATTAAGTTTATAATACCCAGAAATTCATATGCAGAAGTGGATAAAGGCATTAGATCCAGTGACAGATTAGATGGCACAGTGGATAAAGGCATTAGATCCAGTGACAGGACCCAAAGAGTTGTGAGTTCAATACCTGGTTAAGGCAGTGGAGAACTTTCAGAGGGGAATTAACAGAAGATAACTGATAACTGACATCCATTAAAACATGGCATGTGGAACTAAAACAGTCTACCCCAGTGAGTGTTCAGTTGACATTCCAACCACCTGAAGAAGGCTGGAGTGTACAATGGAGGAAATGTTGCAATAAATATTGCAACAAAAATGAGGTCCATAGTTGAACTTTATTTCTATCCTTCATGAGTTTCCGATCCTTTGCTATGATTAATTATGAACATGACATTTTCATTTATGATTGATTTCATCATGCTTCTTCTGTTTAGCCTGGAGAGTAATTATACATGATTATTGCTCAAAGTAGAATAAAAATAGTATTATAAAACCTCAGAGAATTCCAGTAAGATATCTTTAATCATTTCTAAGATACAATATTTCAAAGTTTAATCTAACAATTGGACAATTTTGCTGTTACACCCAGTATATATATATGGGTGTTGACTGCAATGTTCACTTTTATATTTCCATACACTCTATCCCTGATATTGAACATTTTAACCCATAAATATAACATACCTTAAAACTATATTTATATCATATATATATATATATATATATATATATATATATTATTACAATCTCACTACCCCACTCCATCCATTAGTAATAATAGATCTGCTTTTATACCAATCAAAATTTTAAATTTATTTTCATAAAAAGTTTTGCACACCAAGGAATCAGACAGAGATCGGGTTTTTGCTAAAAATATGATTTCCACCAGAAAATACACTGTCTACAAAAACATCTGTTGGTGAGTAATTCCCATTTCTTTGTTTATTTCTCAGTCTGTTGATGAAGAACACAGATGTGTCCGAAAATTCCAAACTTAAAATCTTTCTTTCTGTGCTTCATTTCTGTCATATGGTTAATTAGTTTTTAATAAATGTACTGATTATATTGGTACCTTTTTGTTTGTCCTTGTTTTATTAACTAACCTACCTATTTTATATATATATATATATATATATATATATATATATATATATATATATATATATATTGCATTTTTTTATTTTATAGTTATGATGTAATGTATATAATACATAGAATAATGGAAAAGGCAAAGTAGCATATTTGTCCTGAAAATACTAAGTGATTATAGATTAAAGATTAATAGATAAAAAAAATAAAGACATATGTTACATAATACAATAGAAAATAATGATGAACTACTTCTAGAAAATTACCCATGATTCCATGATAATGAGTCTCTTTTGGTTAATAGCTTTCTGGAGGAAAAGTTTTTTCATCTCTCCCATTTTTTTCTAACTACATTTTAAGAGAAAAACAATGGATGACCTTTTTTTTCTTAATTTTATATTTTATTCTAGAAAGGCAGTCACGCTATATTTTGTAGATACTCAACATAAATTGATCTTTTGCTAAGAACAAGGCTGTAATGATGGGGAAAGACAACATTTCACGGGTCCTGATCTTTATTGGAAAAAGAAGTAATCTTTGGAGGCAATGCTGAGGCCCAATTACACACTTCACTGATCCTTCTTCATGCATGAATATATTCTCATCAGCTAACGAAAACATTTCATCCTTTCACACAAACAAATTGGACAAGAACAAATAACATCAATAGATGTTTTGTATATTGATTAAAACCTTTTTATTTAACACATTTTTCTTTTCACAGCTCATATATATATATATATATATATATATATATATATATATATATATATATATATATATAAACACTATTTACATTGTTCAGACTGTTGTCTTCATCTTTATTGTCATATTCATGAAGTTTCAGCTATTGTATGCTCTGACCTTCTTCAGGTGATATAAATTGTAATTTTAATCCAAACTCTTTATTAAGACCTAGACTTTAATTCAAATTAGTCCAACCTCTATATCAGTGATGTTTCATAATCATCTTTTATTTCACTGACTATTAACTAGTTCAACAAATTGACAGTCTTTATTTAAATGCTTTTTGGTATTTGCTTTAGTATATTCTCTGGATGTTTGGACAATTTATTCACTTTATACAATTGTGTATTTGGTTTCTTATTTAATCTGACCACATTTTTATTTAAATCTAACTTCAGGTCAAGATAGTCTCCTAGCTCTATATGAAATTTGCAGTTCTCAATGGGAATGAGGCTATCATTTCTATACAAGCCTTTATTATATTATCATTAATTTTGCTTATATTTTTGAAAAATTACACAATCCAATCAAATTACTGACCTAGCTCCATTGAATAATCCCATAGAGACATAAAAATTCTTATGCTTCTCTCCCCATTTTTGTCATACTTCATTGTTGTAGCTGAGTAATGGTTTTGTACAATGTTTGATGATAATTTAGCTTCTAAGCATGTATAGTTATTAAGTATTAAAACTTTTATACCCTTCAGGTAATACTCATTTGAATGGACCCTGTTAAATATTCACACACATTCTTGTTTACATCCACATGCCAGATATAAATAAAAAATATATCAAGTAGCCAGTCAAAGTAACTATTGGTGTAACAGTCCAAGTCAAAGTAGTAAGAGATGTCTTTAAGAAATCTTTCTGTGTCTATTTTCAGTCATACAAAAACTGTCTTCATAGAAGAAACTTGACTAGAAAAAGAAACAATTTGTAAGAATAACCTCAGCAATTTGTTAAATGATAAAAAATGCAAGAGGATGTGAACCTATGTTTTATAGATTATGTAGAAGTGTTTGATAATCTACATCACAAAGAACTATTGGGTAACCTTGACATATTTGGGAACATATTACTGATAGAATGCATTGAAAATAAAAAAGAAAGGGATTTTCAATGGTCAGGAATGAATGCAAGCATTACTGATAAAATAGGAGTATCATATTTATAATGTAAATGTATAGCAAATTATTTTACTATAGAAATGCATTGAAAATCCAGAAGAAAGGGATTGTCAATGGTCAGGAATGAATACAGGCGTTACTGGTAGAATAGGGTAGAAATGCAAAACCAAAATCTGAAGATGCATCAAGATAGTGAAAGATGTCTATCAGAAGCTAAGCAATGTATTAAGGAACAGAAAAATTTCATTAATGTTGTAACTCAAAATATTAGGAACAATAAAATATAACAAAACAGTTAAAAATATTTTAAAACACAACAATATTTGTTTTTATTCTCACCAACCAGGATACAGCAGGATTGGGTTGGATAAACAATTCACTGTCTACAGGTGGTGTATTGTCCAGCAGCCATGTTGTTGTTCAATACTACACCTTTTTACCGTGAAGAGTCCATGATTTGTTAAGGGAGAGTTGTCTCCCCTAACAATTAGAAACAAAGAAAAGAGTACTGGATCGTTATGTAATATCAGTCCTTCTATAAGGCAGTGAATGCTGGACAATTTCCTCACAGAGGAAGAAGAGACTTGAAGTAACAGAAATGTGGTTCAGCAGAAGGATGCTGATAATACCATGGACTGTACATGTGAGCAACGACAAAGTTTTAGAGAAAATGAAAACAAAATGGACACTTATACTTAAAATCTGAAAGAAATTGTTGACATTTCTAGGGCACATAATGAGGAAAGAGAGCTTGAAAAATTTGACACCCACAGTATATATTGAAGGCAAGAAGGACAGCAGAAAACAGTGTATAAACTACTTGACAAAATTTACTAAGCTACAAATGACAGGAAATTGTGGAGAGCCATAATTACAAATGTCCTGAAAGAAAATGATACATAGAAAAAAAAATATTTATTTTATCTGCTTGCTTCTTTTCCTTTCTTTTTTCTTTGTGGAGGAGTTGAATATTTTTACAAGGCCAAATTTTCATCCCCTTAAGTTTCCACAGCTCCACTCTGCAAAACTGATCTGTCAACCACTATTTGAGAAAGTCTGAATCATCTTGATGGAGAATGTTGCTTTCCATTAATGAAGTCGATGCCTGAAAGAATTTGTAAAAACCACAAGAGGAGCAACATAGTATTGTGGGGTTTTTTTATGATTCTGTAATTCTCCCAATATGGAGTGATTTCATAATATTTTCTCCAGTTTGATCTAGAAAAAAATGTCATTAATTTAAATAATTTGTTTGAAGTATATTTTTTGAAGCCAGAATATTTACCTATTAAAAAGAAATCATTTTGTCATATTTACAATAATTTAAATAATTTGTTTGAAGTATATTTTTTGAAGCCAGAATATTTACCTATTAAAAAGAAATCATTTTGTCATATTTACAATAATTTAAATAATTTGTTTGAAGTATATTTTTTGAAGCCAGAATATTTACCTATTAAAACAAAATCATTTTGTCATATTTACGATTTGCTTATTTATTACAAAGTCAAATAGATATGTGAAATTCTTCTAACTGTGGAATTTTTACCAGTGTTAAGACAAGAATGAAAAGATGGAAATAATTTTATTTTGATTAAGCAATGAACGGTAGAGTAAAACTGGGGGGTCTTATTAGATAATGGGGGACTTCCACAGGCCAACACTAGAGGACATAATTTCCCTCCTCCAGTGTTATATAACCAGCTGAGTGTCCAGGGGCCAAGGGTATTTTTGTATTTGTATCTCAGTATGAGAATAAAGTACTTCAGAATTACTACTTCTGTTGTTGTTGTTGTTGTCATGGTTATTTTACACAAAGGAAAAATGTTGATTACTTACAACACCCCACCAAAGGGCATCAGCATAACTAGTGAATGCAGAATTCCCTTCTTTGGTATTGTCCTTTTCAGCGAGGTAGACAAAATATGAGGAGAAGATTAGTCCAAGAAATCCTATATATAGCGTAGTGATGAGTTCCTGAAATAGAAAAAAAATAATATTAAACCAATTTTTCCAGAAGAAAATCTGACTTGCCACTTCTTTTCTTTTCTGTTTTTTCTTTCATTTTATTTACCACTATTTTATACCATTTTATTATTTATTGTCTTCTACAGAACGATGCTAAGGATATCATGGACCAGGCATGTGAGCAATGATGAGATTTTGGAGAGGATGCAAAGAAGGAAGAAGCTTATACTTAACATAAGGAAGATGCAGCTGAAATTTCTGGGACACGTAATGAGAAAGGAAGCCTTGGAGAAGCTGATACTCACAGGGCAAATAGAGAGAAAGAGAGACAAGGGAAAGCAATGTGTGACATACCTAGCAGGCTTAAGCAAATGGATGACAGAACATGGCCTGGGGGAAGTAGCAAAGGGACAACACTTATTGAGAGCTACAAGGGATAGGAGGAAGTGGAGAGCCATGATCGCCTACGCCCTGAAGAGACACGGCACATAAAGGTCGAATAGAGGGAAAGAGAGACAAGGGAAAGCAGCACATGACATACCTAGCGGGATTAAGCAAGTGAATGACAGAATAGGACCCAGGGGAAGTAGCAAAGGGACAACATATTGTGAGCTACAAGGGATAGGGAGAAGTGGAGAGTCATGATCGTCTACATCCTGAAGGGACACAGCACATAAAAAAAAAGAAATTATTTATTGTTAATATAATTTGTGATATCAGTGGTAGGATTTATTTGATGTATTCTAATGATTCCATTGATAATAACACAGCCAATTCTGACAGTTGAGATAAAAATGATTATTTCTGATTGCATCTGAACTTGATATACATAAGCTAAATTTCTTATCCATACCCACTGACTTTACTGATACTCTCTACTCATTAGCTTAGTTTTACGTATTTCATAAACTCACTAAATATTTTTGGAAATAAGACAAACATCGGGGGATTAATCACCAAAATTTTCAACATTTAATCGAAAATTTGTTTTAGCAAATTACATCAATATTTGCATTGAAAATTCAAGAAGTAAGATATTGTCAATAGTCAGGAATGAATGCAAGCATTACTGGTAGACTAGGGCTATTATTTTCACTATTTACATTATTCGGACTATTGTCCTCATCTTTGTCGCCATATTTATTACAACATTTCGGTCATTGTATGCTTCAGCCCTCTTCAGGTGGTTGGAATGTCGAACTGAACCCTTTATTTCGCTCACTGGGGTAGACTGTTCTAGTACAACGTGCCATATTTGATGGATGTCAGTTATGAGTTATCTCCTGCTAATTTCCCTCTGAAAGTTCTCCTCTGCCTTAACCAAGTATTGAACTCACACTCTTTGGGTCCTCTCACTGGATCTAACACCTTTATCCACTTTATGTGTCTATGTGTGTTAGTTAGACCCAGTGACAGAACCCAAATAGTGTGAGTTCAATACCTGGGTAAGGTAGTGGAGAACTTTCAGAGGGGAATTAACAGGAGATAACTGATAACTGACATCCATTAAACATGGCACATGGAACTAGAACAGTCTACATAATACCTCATCTCAGAAATATAGACAGGCTATTATTTTGTTTTTCTTTACTAATACTCCCCCAATACAAGGCCCAAGAACCACTTAAGGTAGATTTTTACTGAATGATGTTGTATGAGTGTAAGAATAGGAGGTAAGAAGTGCAGTTGATGAAGTTATGCAAGAGACATAAAGAAACATGTTGCAAATTATTTTACTCTGCAGATGCATTGAAAATCATGAACACAGGAATTGTGAATGTTCAAGAAGAGAGACACTATGAATATGTACGAGAGGGCAATGAAAAGATTCTTGGTTCTATCGACTTCCCAAAATCTGACTGAATGGTTAAACATGAAAATTTTTTAAAGAATATCTTCTTCAAAAACAGGCCCAAAACATTTCAGCATCTCTCACATAACGAAGAAGGCCAGAGAATAAACTAATCAAAATAATATGAATAAAACAATCAAGATAAGGATGCTGTTACAACTAAACCATGACATAATGGCAGGGATTCATCTTAGTGTTTCAGGCAACATTAGGAAGGTTAAAGAATAAACTAGTTAAAGTATTATAATGAAAGCAAACAAAATGAAGGTAAGTAAATCATCTATGAAATAACTGCCATTTGTTGATACAGTATTAGTTGGGAATTCATTTGATGTTGCCTGTTAAACATTTTTTTCACTGCTACTGATTGGACAGGTATGTTAGTTATAGGAAAGTGGTTTGCTCACATACTCTCTCACTTAGTCTGATAGTCAGTGTGTTTTTAACTAGAGTAATCAAAACATTTACAGCTACTCTTCACTTAATATCTGTTCAGTTTCAACAAGCTGGTTGCTAAATGTGAAGTTGTACCTGATTTCTACTTCAGACATAAACACGAGTAATGGGTTTGTGTCAACCAGCTTCAGATAACTTTAATGTCACTTTTGCATCATTTGTAACATTTCTAATTTATTTCTAAATGTTTATACAGTACAGTAGTGTACTGAAGAGTAAATATAAAAGATGTATTCAAAAATCAGATCCCTATTCTGTACATTACTTTGATTTGTATATTGCATTAGGTTGTCATTCATGAAATGTTGCACTTTATAGTAAATGAATAAAATGTTTCTGAAATGTTAAATAACTAATTTATTTAGTTGAAATAGGTACCTTGTTGATGAATGTTCTCCAATGTACCTCTAAATTCTTGATCCCATCCTTTGATGAGATAAACAGTTCAAATGCTTTGAATACATCTTCCTTCTTGGAGAATGTTTTATTACATATGAAAAGCTCAAAATGCTTAAATAAGTGATAATCAGTAGGAAAGATATCAGGTGAATATGGAGGATGAGGCAAAATTTTCTAATTCAGGCTATACAGCTTTTGACAGTTGATTGAGAAGCGTGTGGCTGTGCGTTGTCGTGCAGCAAAATTGGGCCATCCTTATTCACAAGTTGAGGATGTTTCTTTTCAATTTTTCATGCATACATTCAATTTCTTCACAGTATGAGGTTGCTGTTAAATGTTTTCCTTTGAAGCAAGAATGAATAATGAATAACTCCTTTGAAAGACCACCATACAATAACCATTAACTTTTTAGGGTGCAGTAGAAGTTTTGGGTATTGTTTTGGTGATTCACTTGCATCCAATCACTGGCCTCCTCTCTTACTCTTGTCAAAGAGTATTCATTTCGCATCATATATAATGATTTGATGCCAAAATGGTTCTTTTTTCAGTTGGGAAAGCAACAGAGAGCACACCTCAAAGCAACATTTTTTTTTATTCTTATTCAGTTTATACAGAACAAACCTATCCAGTTTCTTTACTTTTCCAATTACTTTCAAGTGCCAAGAAACAGTTGTGCGAGATGTTTTGAATTTTGAAGCAAGTTTACTGACTGTAGTTTTCTTATTTTGATCAACCAAAGCATTCAGTTGATCATGTTTGATAACCAATCATCGTCTTACCCTTGGTTTATTTTCAAGACTATAATCTCCCAAACAAAACTTCTGAAACCATCTCTACAGTTCTGATTCCAACAATACCATTAACAAAGACCACCTTGATATTCTGAAATACTTCAGAGGCAGAATGACCCAGTTTGTACTCAGACAGTAAGATTAATCAACATTGTTTCATTGTAATCATTTTCATTGGGCTTATGTGTGACAATATCTTGAAAGAAAAAGAATCAGAAATAAGTCGAGATTGTTTTTTATATACTAACGAGGTTACTTTGTTAGACGATTGGATCTACAAGCAACGAAAAATGCGTCATTTCGTGTGTGACAACCTAATAAATAAATTATGAGGAAATTTGTTTTTTTATTTTTCACTTCATTAATTTTCTTTATTTTGATTCCTTTTGGAGAAAGTGAAAATAATTACGATCAAAGTTTTTCATACAATGAACACAATACTAACTGGTTACATTTTTTTTATTTTATGAGATTTTATAGTAAGACTATAAATTTCTGCCTGAATTTCTGGGACAAGGAGTTATTATTTACACTATTTATATTCAGACTATTATCCTCATCTTTGTTGTTTTTATCACATTTTGGCTGTTATGCCTTTCATGAGCAGTGGAACGAGAACAGTCTACTCCTGTAAATTAAATAAAGGGTTCAATTCAGAATTCCCTGTAGATTACCCAGATTGATATACCCCTGAGGAAGGCAGGTGGACACAGTGAATGAGATTTCAGCTTTAAATAACCTACAAAAGGTTGATAAGCTGTAAAAAACAAATCAGTCAATAGTAAAGGAAAGTGAGAAGAAAGGACTAACCATCAATTGTAATAGACAGAATATATGGTCATAAAAAGAAGGACAAATTGAATATACAAAAATCAAGCAAGTATAGAAATTGAACTGTGGCAAAATCTGAAAGTGCAATGGAACAGTGAAAGATGCCTTCTGAAAGCTGAACAAAGTATTAACAAATAGAAAAATTTCATTAGAAACAAAGAAAAAAGTGCTAAACTGCTATAATGAAGTGGTGTGCCATTAAAATGATAACTAGATTTGAATCTTTGGTTTTATTCACGCCACTGTGATAAGATTTTTTTGCTGGTGTCCCAAGCACATGAAAGTGTACTATTAGATTGGCATCTAGGTCCCACCCTTTTACTGTTGAAATAGCTAAATGCAACTGCTACTTCTACTCCAGTTTATTTTCTCACACTTCCCACCTGTGGAACTCCCTTCCTCTTACTTGCTTCCCTGATAACTATAATCTTCAAAAATTTAAATGCAACATCAATCGCCATCTTCTATCTTTTGGAATCCAATTTATCTTTTATCTTTTCCTCAATGCTTGTTATTCTCAGTCTTCTCTTTCACTTTCACTCCTTGTAAACCCCTGCACACTAGTGGCATTCACACCTTGATTGGGGTGAAATGATTAAAAAAGAGAAAAATTATCACCTACTCTTAGCCAGCCTGTGTGAGTTCTGCATCTCTGTTCAAAGTGTGGACCTTGCATTCTC